GGGAGTTTTTGGGGGGGTGGGGTTTGAGACACAGTCTTACTTTGTCGCAGAAGCTGCAGCTGCACACAACTTAATCTCTATTTATAGTGTTATAATAGAGATTCTCGGCAGGGAGCCGATGGCAGGCAGGCTTACTTACAGAGCTCACTTACCCCCTGAGTAGAGTGATATGGCATCACAGCTCACAGCAACCTCAAACTCTTGGGCTCAAGGGATTCTCTTGCCTCAGCCTCCTGAGTAGCTGGGACTACAGACACCTGCCACAATGCCTGGCTAGTTTTAGAGACAGGGTCTCACTCTCACTCTGGCTAGTTTTAGAGAAGGGGTCTTGCTCTTGTTCAGCCTGGTTTTGAACTCCTGAGCTCAAGCAATCCACCACCTCAGCCTTCCAGAGGGCTAGGATTACAGGCATGAGCCACCGTGCCCAGCTGGGAAGTCAGTTTTTAAGGTTCCTCTTGGGTCCCCTTAGCCAACTGAATATCCATGCCATTGGCTGATCAGCTTAGAACTTTATTTCATTTCTTATCAGAGACAAAACCCATGGAGCTCCCTGCAACAGCATAGTCAAGTCTGAACTACAGATTGCTGTGGGCTTCTCAGCAGAAGATGGGCTGGAGGTGACCGAAACCAAGCCCCTCACACCAAAATAAACGTCTTTGATAGATTTTTAAGATAGCTATTTGGAGGGATAGAAATGTAAGATTACTTGAAAAGCTGTCTTTTGGGGGAGATTTGCCATAGAAAGGCCTGGCTTTCTCTGAGACCTTCCCTTGTCCTTGTCTAAGGAGAATTAACTGAGAGTCTGACACCTTTAATGACTTAAAAGACAAACTCACCATCGATTCTCTGTGAGGGCTGCCTCTGTGTGGCTTCATCTACACCACAAGACCTCCTCTTCTCCCCTCTCCCATAACCTGTTCTACCAGGATCCAAGCCCATGTTCCCATAACCTCAAGAAGGTATAAAAGCATCAACCAACCACCGTCCCTTTCTTTGAGATCTCATATTTTGTTCCACAAGATAATGCCTGCCTCTATAGGTTGCTTAAATTCCAAAGAGAATCATTTACAAGTTAATTTCTGTGTCCCTGATCCGTTTATTCTCCCTCATAATCACTTACTGTGCCTCAGAAGAGTTATCTGCTTTCCCCTTCTCCATTCTCCACAGTGGAAAAGGATATACAAAGCTCTGTACCCCACTGGGGGTTGAAGTCATCATCTGTGGTTCTCCCCCACGTTAGTAAATCTGTGTGCCGTTTCTCCTACTCATCGGCCTTTTGTCAGTTACTTTCAGTGAACCTTCAGAGGGCGAAGGGGAAGTTTTCCCTCGGCGCCGACACAGGAAGGGCACTATTTGTAAGTGTTATAATAGAGATTCTCAGGGGGAGCTGATGGCAGGCAGGCTCACTTACAGAGCTTTCAGAAACAATGTGCAGCCAACGAGGGGAAATTTATGAGACCGCGCAATTCAGATGTGAGGAAAGGAAGACTCTATTATACATGAAACCTGGAGTGGCAATGGACCTGGTGGTCTCTGTTGGTCACTAGGTAAGCGTTGAGCTCCTTTCCCGTTTAATTTGTTTGAAGTGCTTTTATGCTTGGCAATGTGTCACCAGCTCTGTTGCACAGAGACGAGAGAATCCTCAAACAAGGCGCAGGGTGACCAAGCAGCCACCCTCATGGAACACTGTTCTCTGTAGTCCAGGACACAGCTAGTCTCAGCCACACTCGGGTAGGGAGAATCCCCACCTGTCTACACAGCTGGAGCCAGGAGTCCAGCCTCAGTCCTAGAGATCTACTGAGGGAGGTGGAACCCCTCCTTTTATGTCTGAGAGGAGGCAGCCTTGCAGGACCACTTGCAGTCCCCATGTCCTCCCTGCCAGGAGGGGCTCCTCTGATCAGTGGGATGGGGAGGCCTGGCTGCCACTGATCTGTCCTAAGGATGACCTGCTTGCCAAGCTCCACTTGTGATTCTTTAAGCAGGCAAGATGACACCTCTTGTCACAATCCAGAGTGTGCATGTGGTTCTATCTGGGTAAATGTATCTTTTACCATCTGTGCACTTTATATTGTGTGTCTCTCGCTCTGTCCCTCAGTTTCCTAATCTGTAAAGTGAGGAAGGATCTGCCTTCTAGGATCATCTGAGGACCCTAAGTACTCAGAGGGGAAGAGTTGATAAATGATGGCTGTGATAATTCTTTTCTCTGCCTCCCACAGTGACTGTGTCCGGGACAGGTCCCAGGCTCTTGTGCTGGTATGGACCTAGAGACCATCCCTGGGCGGACTCACAGGCAAACTTTCTCCCTGTTGCAGCCGGTTGGGTGGCAGGGCTTTGACTTCACCCTGCACCAGCTTTCACCCTGGAGGGACCGGAGTCCAGACCTGGGGTGAGGATACGGGGAAGATCTTTCTAATCTTCCAACTCAGTTGTTCCAGAAGTCCTACATTTAGGATTTGAGGGACTGGAGCATCAGGAAAACTGATCCTGTCTCCAGGTCGTCATCCATCTGCTCATGTCCATTCTCATCTGGCTCAGAGCCCAGAAGACAGAAAGAGTGGGCTCACATACAGCCCAAGCCATTGCAGGGCCCGCCCCTTGAGATATCCACTGTATTGTGACTCGTTTACCTCACCCCTGCCCCTTTCTCATCCTTTCCTGACCAACTTCTCTTTGTGCCCCTTCTTTCTGCCTTGGTTCCCTGCTCTGCCTGCCTCCCATTGCCTCTTGGGTATCTCACCATCTACCTCCCTGAGAGGGCCTCAGACTGGCTGGTCTATCCACAAGCAGAACAGAGCCTCTCCATGGGGCCAAGCCACTGCATGGGCAGTGTTACTGCATGGGGCCACCTGCAGGGATGAACGAGGGCTCAGTTCACCTGCAGAGGATGGTGGTCAGGGTAGCCAAGAACTCCAAACTGACTCACATGAAGAGCATGGAAGGCACAGGGGCTTGGACTGGGTAAGAGAAGATCTTAGTGTGGCCTCAGCTGTGGAGTTAGTAACACCTGCTGGGCCCTGATTGTCCCTTCTGAGATACTCAAGGGAGTTTCCTAGATCCTCTGCAGTTGGGTGGAATCATGTGACTGGTTCTGGCAAATGGGCCATGACTAGAGGTGACGTATCATTTCTGAGCCAAATGCTGAGACCTGCTGTGGAGTCTCCAGGCTCATAACTGGCTACAACAGGCTCAGAACTTTACATTGAGGTTGAATAGAGTAGAATGAGCAGCTGCCCTGGGGAGAAGGACCCAGGAAGAAGCCCCTGCCGGCTCTGGCATCTCCCTGCCCCAAGTGTCCTGGGGAACCCAGACATAGGTCCCAGCTGGTGCCTATTTGGAAAAATTGGTACCTTTGACAGAATCTAAGTCTGGGATGGAGACTGAGCCAAACTTGACAGGTGCTTCGAGCCTGGGAGCTCTGAGGCTCAGGGGCAGACACCCTGAACTCTAGGTGACAGGCTGTGCTTTGCACACCTGCACACCTGGTCAGTGCCAGGCACCAAGGGGAGCTCAGCACGTGAGCTCTAAATTGATCCTGGGCATCAAATGAACATGGCTAGCCAAGAATGACAGATTCTGGGATCTGCTACGGAAGTTCCTCTTCTGGGTTAGGCCAGGAGAGTTTTTAATCCTCTAATGCTGCAATAATGGGCTGCCACTGGCCACATGTGGCCATTTAATTTTAACTTCAAATGAATTAAATTTAAAGCTCAGTTCCCCACTCACACAAGCCGCATTTCAAGTGCTAATGGCTGCCAAGTTGGGTAGCACAGATGGAGAACAGCTCTGTCATTATAGGAAGTAGGACTGGCTGGCACTGGAGACCCCCTGGGTGAGAACAGGACCCAGACGGGCTCCTTACAAAATACTCCAGGGTCATTCCCAGTTCGTAGAGCACTGTACCGGAACTGTCAGCCCTCTGGGGTTTGAGCTTTGATGGAGGGACACTGTCAATAAACTGAGAAAGAAGGAACCTGATAACACTTGGCAAGCATGACTGAGAGAAGCCTCAGGGATGGGTAGATGTTTGTATGGTGGACAGGGTTTGGGGGGGGAGGGGAATGGGGAATCCAAAGTACACAGGAATCATTAAGGTCATCGGAATAAGATTAGATACAACATTTAATCTCAGCACGGATTCCCTTCCACCCTTGTGGGAGCCCTGCCTGCATTCTTTTTCTTTCTGACCTTTTCCTCAGCCCTATGCTCAGACATAACCAACTACCAGAGTTTCCAGAACCTTCCAGGCTGTATTGAGACTTTGTGCCTCTGTTCCTGCTATTCCACTTGCCCAGAATGCCTTTCCCTTGGTGCCATATGAATACTTCCACACCTATAATCCTAGCACTCTGGAAGGCCGAGACAGGTGAATGACCTGAGCTCAGGCATTCGAGACCAGTCTGAGCAAAAGAGAGAAAAATAGAAAAACTAGCCGAGCATTGTGGTGAGTGCCTGGGGTCCCAGCCACTTGGGAGGGTGAGGTAAGGGGATCACTTGAACCCAAGAGTCTGTGATTGCTGTGAGCAATGAGGTCATGGCACTCTACCCAGAGTGATAGAGTAAGACTTTATCTCAAAAAAACGGAATACCTCCCTTTTGCCAAGACTTAGTTCGGGCAGCACCTTCTCTAGAAAGCATGCCCTGACCTCAGGGGTGTGCTAGGGGCCTGCTCCACAGAGTGTCCATCAGTCAGTCTTATGTTCAGTGTCTCCCCAGTGTGGGCATAGGCAGGTTTCAGGTCTCACTCATTCCTCTCTGCTGTCAGCCCAGCGCTTGGTCCTGTGGGAGGTGAGGAATGCTGCAAGGCCTGTGGAAGCTGAAACATTTTCTTACTGCCTCTGGAGGGGCATCTGTCCTCTGGGTCCCTCCTCTATGGCCTTGCCCACCCTGAACAGGCAGACACTTTCCCCAGCACCGCGTGCAGCCCGGCTGTGCCCTCGGAAATCACACACATTCATAACAAAGTGGCTTTGTGCTCTCACAGGTTATCCTGCATTGCCCTTTATTTTCCAGGCTTCCTGACATCAGACATGACATTGCACTATGAGGAAATGGGGGTTTCCAGTTGCTCAGGCTCCGATTGCTAAATGGCAGGAAGCATATTAGGTGCTAAAAATTCCCCCTTCCTGGCCAAGCCAGGAGGGTGAGAAGCTGAGTGCAAGAGGGACTTGGTGCGTTAGGGGCTGAGGAGGCTGAGTAAGTTGGGCTCTGAGAAGCTGAGTAAGTCCGACTCACACTCCTGGGGACATCTAGGAGCACAGAGAAGCAACACCCACTGAGGACTGCCTCACCCACTCTCAGTGAGCACATCTGCGTCGTGTGGCGGCAGGTACGACTCTGGCCACACATCTCACAGACTTGTGTGCTTTTCCCCTGGGGAGCCCACTGCTTCTGCCATGAGGATGTCCCGCTGGCCTAGAAGACAAGAAGAGGGCAGATTCTGCCTTTCTCTCCTCACGGGTGTGTGGTGTCCATTTCAGGGACATGTGTGAGTGCATGGTCCCTGTGGCATGTGTAGGTTTGTGTTTCAGGTGGTCAGGTGACAACAAAACTGGTTACAGCACAAAGATGCTATACCAAAGCTACATTGGGCATTGGGGTTGGGTGCGTGGAAATCCTTTATTCCAGGGCTTTGGCCATCGGAGGAGGATGTTTTCTCTCCGAGACTTGGAAAAATAACAGCAAGGGAAACAGCGGTGGCTACACATCGCACGTATTTACAAACAGCAGTATTTAGAGGGGTCTGTCTCTAAGGTCACACCTGCATGACATGTGGGGAAAAAAGACAAGAAGAAAGAAGACAGACAAAGAGTCCTCTCTATGAGGACCACACCAGGAACAGAGACCACACAGAGCTGAGCGGTGCAGGAAGAGTAAGGCTGGAAGCGCCCCCTTCAGAGGGCCCGAGAAATTAAACTCTTCATATATGCCATCTCACATTTAAATAGGCTATGATTTTTAATAAAATAAAAACTTCTATGTTACTTTAAAGTTATCATGTAGGCATCTAGGGGTGTTTGGAAGAATGCAGTGCACAGAGGGTATGATGGCAGGAGGTACCCGATCAGGTTGACGTTTGTCCCTAGAGTGACCTGTCACAGAGCTTGGCACTGCCCAGGTGGCAGCACCCCTCTCCCTACGGGGCCTGTGAGGGCACCTGCAAGGCTGGCCTGCCCTGCTCTGAGGAGCCATGTGCCCCCTCAAGGTAGTGTTGGTGCCCATCATCACAGTGCACGTCCTGGCCACCCCTGTACTCCACATGCCTGGCACCAAGGCTGGGGCACCACAAGGACACTAAGAAGCTGGGCTGTTGGCATGTTCCATCTGATCCCTTGTGACAGCTACTCTGAGGCATTGCCCTGACACCAAGCCACAGTGGGGAGAGTGGTGTGCAGCTTGCCATCTCAGCCTTGAGAGTCACTGGCAGAAATGAGCTGCACCTGCCAGGGGCCCCTCCCATCCCGAGGCCCCTGGCACAGCCCCCTCAGGTGCTCACCGCCCGCCCCATTGACACGGAGAAGCCTGAGCAAGGTGCAGTGGGGGAGTTTGCGTGGTTATGCCGGGGGTCTCTGTCTCTGCTCTCTACATGTGCGGCGAGGCAGGCGGGCGACTGTCAAAACAGCAGCGCCTTCTTCTTGAGGTCGTTCCTTTTCCAGAGGGCCAGGCGGTCAAACTCTTCCATGCTCATCCCAAACACTTCCTGGAATTCCTCTGGCGATAGGTGTCTCTTCAAACAAAAGGATAAACAGAAAGGGACAATTAGTGACTCTACAAGGTGCTTCTGATCAGTCCTCTGCCGCTGGGCTGGACTGGTGGTGAGGATGGTGGTGAGGATAAGGCAGGCCCCTCCATGGGCCTGGGCCTCCCGGTGGTTCTCATCACCTCTGCAGAAAGAGAGCCGAGCTCAGAGGAAAGCAACCCTGCTAGGGACACGCAGTGCCCAGGGGTAGAGCTGGGGCCAGAACAGCAACTCCGGGCTCCCAGCACACTGGCCACTGCTGTGCATGGATTTCATAAAAATCCCCTCGTCTGTGCAGCATGTGCTGGGCTCTGAAGTGCAGTTGTTGAGGTGCTCTGGAGGAGGAAGCTCAATAGATCCCCACAAAGTCATGTCCTGATAGAATGTGGGCCTTGAGTCACACACAGACAATACTCACACACTCTCTCACACATACTTTCACCACACTCACACTCATATACGCACACATGCTCACATTCACACTCAGTCATACACATACTCTCACATGCACATGCTCATACACGCTCACACAATACTCACACATACACACACCCACTCATGTACATACTCACACACTCACACACACTCAGACACACACACATGCTCACACACCCAGTGGTATACATACACTCTCACACTCACATGCTCACATACTCTCACATAACACACATACACACTCACACACCACACACACACACACACTCACATACACACTCACACACACACATCACATACATGCACACTCAGATACGCACACATGCTCACACTCACACCCAGTCATACACATACACTCACATGCTCACACACGCTCACACAATACACACACCCACTCATGTACATATTCACACGTTTACACAACACCACACACACTAACACTCATATACACACACATACTCACACACCCAGTTGTACACATACTCTCACACTGACATGCTCACACACTCTCACATGATACACATATACACCCACTCACACACTCTCACACACATCACACCCACTCACACACACCCACTCACATACATACTCACATTCTCACACACACATACACACACTCACTCACATACTACACACATCATACTCACACACACATACACACCCGCACAGATCACACTCACACATGCACACTCAGATACGCACACATGCTCACGCTCGCACCCAGTCATACACATACACTCACATGCTCACACACGCTCACACAATACTCACACACACCCACTCATGTACATACTCACACACTTACACACACACACCACACACACTCACATACACACACATACTCACACACCCAGTCATACACATACACTCTCACACTGACATGCTCACACACTCTCACATGCACACCCACTCACATCACACACACCCACTCACACACACACATCACACTCAGATACGCACACGTGCTCACACTCACACTCAGTCGTACACATACACACACCTACTCACATACACACTCACTCTCACACACATCACACCCACTCACACACACCCACTCACATACACACACATCATACACTCTCACACACACACACAAACACATAATCACACCTACTCTATCTCACATACAGCGTATCCAGCAGCCATACTAGGGAGAGACCCTAAGTGTCTGCTGTTATCTCAAGTCTGCAAACAGGAAAAGAATCCGGTGCTTGCCAGAAATGAACCATTTACAAGGCGCTGAGGTTGGGGCTTCTCTGTGTGCTGAGAAATCTACAGCAGTCCACAGAGACTGAGACTCGCCACTTCACACCATGCCTCTCAGGACATTTAAGATGCTGAGTGTCTAAGACAGCAGCATCACACCCATTGGTACCAAACCAAATCACCATCTTCTGAATCCCGGTGGAACAGATCCAAGGAACCCTGAAAAGAAACTCAAGCCCACTGTTACCCAACAGCTACTGATCGAGGCCCAGTAGCTCACATACTGATGATTGGACAGAGCTTACCCCAGACACTGGGGCAGCCACAGACACCAGCTCTGGTGGGGGAAGAGGGGCCTTAGCAGATGTAGAAGTGGATGAGACAAAGTCTGGAGGTGGCTGAGCAAGCAGAGTTCAGGCCCAGCACAGAGCTCAGGCTCCCACGTGGCCCTGCTTCCTGCCATCGGAGGCTCCTCCCCATGATGAGGTCTGAGGCCAGAGGAGGCACAAAAGTAGCGGGGATGGGGGTGGGTGTATGGCAGGAAAATCCTTAATGAGGTGTGTGGCAGGATCTCGCAGTGCCCAGCGCCCTTGTTGCCTGTGACCCTGTGTCTAAAGGCAGAGAGACGGAGGGCAGCATCCACCTGGTCTCCCCAGGATTTGGATTTTGCTGGCCCTGCAGCAGAGGAGGCAGACAGCAGGATGGGGCATGGACAGTGGGCAGACATGCACGCGTGCTGTGGGGCAGGCGGGGGGAGGCTGTAATTCCATGTGTGCTGCTCCCTGGGAGCCTCTTGAGGGATGACTCGGAGCTGGTGGCCAAGTGGGAAGGACAGCAAAGGGAAGGACAGCAGGGCGAGGGTGTGGATGCTGGAGATCACAGTGCCACTGGTGATGGCCATGGTGGCGATGGGGTGGGGGTGGGGCCCTGGTATGGGCCAGAGCTCTCAGGGGGTTTCTGAAGTTGCTGTGCATGGTGACAGGCATTCTCCAGGAAAGGGGCACTGTGACCTAGATGGTAGAGCCACCAGAGGTTCTGGGGCCCAGATAGGGTTTGTTTTGTTTTGTTTTGTTTTTTGAGACAGAGTTTCACTTTGTTGCCCTTGGTAGAGTACCATGGTATCACAGCTCCCAGCAACCTCAACTTTTGGGCTCAAGTGATTCTCTTGTCTCAGCCTCCCCAGTAGCTGAGACTACAGGTGCCTGTCACAATGCTCAGCTAATTTTAGAGATGGGGTCTGGCTCTGGCTTAGGTTAGTCTTGAACCCGTGAGCTCAGGCAATCCATCTACCTCGACCTCCCAAGTGCGAGGATTACAAGTGTGAACCACAGTGCCTGGCCCCAGTCAGGGTTGACAAATAACGGCAACAGGGAGAAGTCAGGGTGTCCCAAGGGTGTGGGATGGGCTCCCACATACATGTGGCCTGTAGGGCTCAGGACTCCTGGCCCTGGGGCTTTGTGCTGTCCCCAGGCTTAGAGCCCTTGGACATCCTGGGTCAGGGTCCTGTCCACCTGTCTTGGCATCCATTCATCCTTACTCATGTAACATACTCACTTACAGCACCTGCCTTACAGCTTCTTGTGGCACCATCATAGCCATTGGGTACCGGGCCATGGGTAGGGTCATGGCACTGACATCCTACTGGAGTCGGGGGACAGACAAATAGCAAAAGTAAATATGTTAAATGCCATTGTATGACCCAATAAACACAGGCATGAGCACAGGGTGATGGGCAGGTGGGGAGGACCCCAGCAGAGGCATGTGTAGGTGGGGCAGGCGTGTGGCCTGGGCACTGGCCCCCTCAGGAGAGTGATCAGGAAGGGCCTCTTCCAGCAGTGATCTTTGACAGGAAGCTGGGATATCACAACACCTGGAAGCACCTGCGGGGTCCTGGCTGGCACTCAGGTACTCCCCCATGCAGTGCCCAGGCCCTCTGACCCAGCCAGCATAAAATACTTCCAATTCCCTTTCAGTCAAGAAACCCCAAGCGAGTACAGTAGCCAGCTTAGTGGCCAGCTTATAGGAACTTCCCTTTGTAAAGGGGCAGGGCCTAGCTGGGAGTTGGGGGGAAACTCTCAAAGGGTTGCAGTCTCATGTGGGCCATGTCCCTCTTGCACTGAGACATCTCACAGACCCTGCTCCTCCTTAACCCTTGGCATCAAAAATTCTTTGAGAATTCAATCCAAAAATCTGCACAGAAACCTGGGTTCTTAGGCCACAAGGACATTTGAGGCGTGGTGGAGTGGTGGGAAGAAAGGAGGGACGCCAAACCAGGAGGTGAGGAAGAGGAGGGACTGGCCCAAAGTGGGCAGCCAGGCCCCCCCCCCAGCACCCAAGAATAATTAGCAGCAGCTCTGTCCTCAGGGAGCCCCCCAAAGCCTGCTTGCTCTTTCCCGTCCCTTATGGGGTCACAAGGTCCTGTTTGCGCTCTTGGCCAGGCTGGCTCCCCCCCACCCCCACCCCCACCCCGCTGCAAGCTGGTGCTATACTCCTGCTGCTGCAGACAAGGAGCCCTCCCACCACCACTGCTAAGGAGTGGGGTTAGTAGGAGCCAGGGAAGGGCTGCAGGAGGCCCAGCTAAACTTCCACTGCTGGGGCCTGTCACCAGTACCCGGGTGCGTTCAGGTGTGGGATTGCTCGGCCCCACCTGAACCTAGCCAGATGGGCTTACTAGGGTGGGGCCTGGGAACCTGTATTCGTCGCAAGGCGGCAGCTGGGTTTGGGAGCTTTTAGGCTAAAGGCAAGTCCTGGGGCTGGCAGCCCTATCTTTCTGGCTGTACAGTGAGAACAGAACAGTGGCTGCCTGCTATTCCCAAGGGCTGGGTGGGTCAAATGAGGGAATGCCCCAGCAGGAATCTATTCATACCCCCTGGCTCCAGCTGTGAAATCCTGAGGGTCACATTTCACCTGGCTGAGTCTCCCCTGCCTCTTAGGTGAGAAGGGGCCAGCTGCAGAGCTGGTATTTAAGATGAACTCATCAGGGCCAGACACAGAGTCCGGATCCCTGGGTGACTGCTGTAGCAGGCAGGAGTGGTTGGCACAGCTGACCCCAGAAGCTGGGGCCAGCTCTCTCTGACCTCAGCCCAGCTCCTTTGGTCCCAGGTTCTTGTAGACACTGCAGGAGTGCCACCTAACTCCCCAGGTGCCTGCCAAGGCCCAGCACAGTCCCTGAGCCACTGGAAAGGAAGCTGCCCAGGGAGGTATCTTTGCAGAAGTGTGGGCTGGCCTCATGTTCCAGCCTCACTCCTGGAGTATACTAGTCTCTCCAATGAGCACCCTGTGAAGAGGTTGTGTGTGCAGCACAGCAGAGCCCCACATGCTTTGCCAGGAGTCTCTCTCCCTGTGCC